ACCTCTTTTTGCAACCTGAATCATCTTTCTAACAGCAAGCACACGTTTGTTGTAACGGGTCTTGAGGCCTTTCGTAAACCCGCGGTTTTTCGCCTACATAAACCGCTTTACAACCTTCCTCACAACTGTTTATTTTTATTTTATCAATCAATAAATTAATATAAAAAAAAAGGAGCATGGTGGTGGTGGAGGGCGGCGGCGCCGTGGTGGGTGTGGCGGTGGTGGTGAGGGAGTACGACGCTAAGAAGGACCTCAAAGCAGTGGAGCAAATGGAGAATAGTTGCGAGGTGGGGCCTACCGACCAAATGGCCCTTTACACGGATCTCTTGGGCGACCCGATATCCAGGATCCGCAACTCGCCTGCTCATCTCATGCTGGCTAGTATTTTATTCCCTCAACTCCTCATTTTAATCAATTAATAATTTTTTATTTACTTGCAACTTACAAACTATATGTAAGTAATAAAAAATGAATTAATAAATAGTACTAGTAATGATTTGAGAAGGATGATAATAGTACGTTATATATGCGGTGCTGACGTGTCACAATTGGGTGTGCAGGTGGCGGAGATGGTGGTTGTGGGCGGCGGGGGAGAGGAAAGAGAGATAGTGGGGACGGTGAGGGGCTCCATTAAAACCGTTACCTGTGGCACCAAACCACCCAGAAATCCAAATCCAAATTCAAATGATAACTCTAATGACCCACTCCCCATTTACACTAAACTCGCTTACATTCTCGGCCTTCGTGTTTCTCCATATCACAGGTATTCTTATTTCCCTTACATGAATAAAATAAAAAAAAAAATTACTTTTATGAATTTCAACAAATATCTTCTAACTAGGTTTCCTTAAATGGATTTCTATTTTACTCTTCTTTTAGCTAGACCAACTAATAATTGGAGTATTTTATTTGCTTCCTTTGCTAACCAACCCCTCAATTTGATTTCTACTGTTTCCATAGTTTTGTCACATTTATTTTTTCTTTATATATATCTTGTTGGATACCCTGTAGGTCATTTTTCTTCCTTAAAAATTATATGTACATATTATTCTTCAATTGTTGAATATTCTTCTTAATTTGTTGCAGGCGAATGGGAATTGGGCTGAAGCTTGTTCGCAAGATGGAGGAATGGTTCCGAGACAACGGCGCTGAGTACGCTTACATGGCCACTGAAAACGACAACCAAGCCTCCGTCAACCTCTTCACAAAAAAATTGGGCTATTCCAAGTTCCGGACCCCGGCCATCCTCGTCAGGCCCGTATTCGCCCACCGGGCCCGGCCCGACCGCCGGGCCTCAATCATCCGCCTCAATCCTTCAGACGCGGAAAAACTCTACCGCCGCCGGTTCTCTGCCACCGAGTTTTTCCCACGGGACATTGATGTCGTCCTTGGCAACCGCCTGAGCCTTGGCACCTTCCTGGCCGTGCCGGGCGCGTCCGGCGCGTGGACCGGCGTCGAGAGGTTCCTGGCGGCGCCACCGGAGTCCTGGGCGGTGGTGAGTGTGTGGAACTGCAAGGAGGTGTACCGTCTGCAGGTGAGGGGCGCGTCGCGCGTGAGGAGGAGGTTGGCGAGGGCCACGCGCGTGGTGGACAGGGCACTGCCCTTCCTGCGGATACCTTCGGTGCCGGACGTGTTTGGGCCGTTTGGGTTTTTGTTTTTATATGGGCTTGGAGGGGAAGGCCCAGAAGCGGTGAGGATGATGAGGGCGCTGTGTGGGCTGGCCCATAACATGGCCCAGGAGGGTGGGTGCCAGGTGGTGGCGGCTGAGGTGGCCGGAGGGGACCCGCTCAGGTTAGGGATACCGCATTGGAAGAGTCTATCGTGCGCGGAGGATCTGTGGTGCATCAAGCGGCTGGGGGAGGAATACAGTGACGGCTCGGTTGGTGACTGGACAAAGTCGCCACCTGGACCATCCATTTTTGTTGATCCTAGGGAGGTTTAGCTTTTATTTGTTTTTTTATTTTTTTCCTAACCAATAGCGTGTTGTTTTTTATTTTTATTTTGTAGTTTGGCTAAACTAGGAATATAACTAGAAAAAAAAATTGAAAAAATGGAAAAAAAAAATGTGGATAAATGTTCCCTTTTAAATTAATCGTTCGTTACGTTGTGTTTAATTATTTATTTATTTTTTTCCTCGTTTTTATGTGGGTCTAACTAAGTGTATATTAAAAGGCTTAATAACTGGGAAAAGGGGTAGGCAGTTCTCTTTCTAGATTCCTAAATAGTACTGAGTTTGATTCTGAGAACCTTCGAAGTTTTAATTCGTTCGCAATCCTGAAAAGGAACCTTTTACCGTTTTAATTGGAAGTGAGTATGAGGGAATGAAAATTCGATAATTTCATGTTTAATTATATAACTAAAATAAATTTTGTTAAGTGGTCTTTTCGTTTTCTGTTTTCTTGTATTTTTTTTACTTCCAAGGGATGCGAAATCTAGGACTGAAACTACTTGGACTTAGACTACGATTGGTGAAGTCCGACTATTATAAAATCATGTTTTTTCAACATATTTTCATACTTTTAGATTGAATTATTAGATATACTTATAATAAAATATTAACAATATATAACAATTAATATATATACGAATTTATTTTATAAAAGTATAAATGGATTATTTTTTACTAATCTTATGATCTAAGGAACTGATATTTTGCAATAGAGATAAATATTGTTTAGAAAATGTGAGTGGGAAGGAATAGAAGGAATGAAAAGATATGGATTACCTTTTGTTTTTTAGTGGCTATTGTTATAAAGGAAGGATATACCGTCACTCCTTTCGCCTTTTGTAAAATAGATGGTGTTTAAGTTGGTTTTATATTGTTTTTGTGTGTGATGTGGGATTTGTTGTGTTGTGGCCATCTTTTTCATACTATATTGCAAAGTATTGACACATCAATGTATATGAATCACAAATGTGACAGGCACAAATATGTAAAATTGTGGGTATGTCCATGAAAAAGATGTGTGTTTGCCATCTTTGTTAGTGACTTCGATTTTTTTAGGTAACAGCTAGTGACAAAACAGAATGGGGAGAAACCAGGGGCTTTAATTTTTTGAACTCCAAAAAAAATTATTTTATTTTAAGAGCAAGAAAAATGTGAGGGAGCAAGAAAAATGTGAGGGACCACTATAGATGTCGCTCCAAATCGTATTTAAAAAATCAGGCTTAGGCAGTGCCTAGACGCTAGGCGGCACCCGAATACATTAATTTCGTCTAAACGACCCTTCTACCTTTTTGAAAAATTAGATGTTGTCTGGATAGACTAGACGATTGTGAGGTTAATCACGCCAAGAATGGTTAGGCAGTTTAGGTGGTAACTTTAACCGTAAAGGAGCCCATATATATATATATATATATTTCCAAAACGATAGAGGATTTATATAACAAACGCACAAATGTGCAAAGATACAACTTGGAACGCAGCCCAAAACTGAATAAAATGGGAGGACAAGTCTGACGACCGCCTAGAAGCCCGATACTAGCAAACACTCGAAACAAGACACACAAGACAACAACACAACAAACACAAGGAAAACTACAACGAAAAGCTCCCCACAGGAGAATAGAGACAGAAGTTGGTCCCCACATGACAATAAATTGCTCCCGCTCAAACTGAGGCCAACAGCCCAAACCTAAAATACAGAACAAAAGCATACAGGCGAATTTCCCAGACCAAAGACACAATACTACCACAAAAACAGCAAACACACAAAAATAACACTAGACAATACAAAATAAATCGAAAGCCCCTCTCCAATCGGGATACCACACCAAGCACATCAATGGCAGAGTGACCCAAGCGCCCGACCCAGAAACTGCAAGAGAACGCCTAACTTAGTCGGGAATCATCGGGCTCAACCCTTGTCCAGTCGAACAAACTCCACTGGCACCCGGAGACCAAAACGCCCATCCAAAACAGTCACCAACAATGGTCCGAGCCTCGAGCAAATTAGTCTAGCCCAGCAAGCGCCGACCAACAACCAGAACCAGGCTCGTCGACAACAAACCGACACCCCGAACCCCAGCCCTTCGAGCGCCGAATAACGCTCAAAACAAGGGTCGTCGACCACGAAATCGACAGCCGGAACCAGACACCCAACGTCCTTTACCAGAGCCGACCAATGCCTCAAACTAGAGCCAACGACCGCGACTTCGAAACCCAGCTGTGAAGTACAGGATGGTCGGACGAGTCTCCACCCCAAACCCTAGATTGGAAAATTAAGGCCGCAACCCTCTCTGAAAGAGTGCCGGAGGCCGCCGCAACGAAGATACTAGAGGAGAAGCAGCCGCCCACCACTCACTTCCAGTTCCGAGGCGAAAACAGGAATGTGGCGCGACCACCTCCCCAGCAAAAAAGCTCCCTCTAATCAGCGCATCTTCACAGAAGAGGGCCGTGAAGCCCAGGTGAGCTACCACCGTGCACTCGCCGGCCTAACCGAGGAAGGCAACTGAAATTTGAAGAGAAGGGCGGCGATGGGATTAGAGATTTTGGCGAGAATGAGCCCATATGTATATATTAATTTATTTTTTAAAATATACTAAAAATTTATTTTTTAAAGGCCCACAAAGAGATTGCACTCGAACAAGAAAAATTCGAACGATTTTCACTTGACAAAGGAATTTATAAAACTTGGAATAATTTAAGTAGACGATGACATCTACAAAAATTATTTAACTTAATGGATTAAAGAGATGAGGACATCTAAATAATCTTATCGAACTTATTAGTTTAGTTGAGGTTAACAAAACAAATAAAAAATAAGCAAAGCAATGCACTCAAGCAAAACAATAACTGAACTAATTCAATACAAATCGAACGAGGAACTACATGGGAGCTCGTGGATCTTCCTCCTGGATGTTAACCATGGGCTACATGTGGATTTTGAAAAAAAATGAAACTTGATGGAATATTTGATATGTATAAGACCAAACTAGTNATTGATTACTTTGATACATATTCCCCAATAACGAGGATAACATCTATTGGGGCGATTATCGCAATTGCAGCTTTACAAAATTTCAAAATACATTAAATGGATGTAAAAACAATTTTTCTGAATGGAAACTTAGAAGAAGAGATTTATATGGAGCAACGTGAATGGTTCTCCGCTCCCAGATTTATATGGAGCAACGTGAATGGTTCTCCGCTCCCAGGAAAGAGAATAAAGTTTGTAAATAAGTTAATTCTTTGTATGGCTTAAAACAAGCTCCAAAACAATGGCATAAAAAGTTTGATAATGTCATGATTCAATGTGGATTTAAAATAAATGAATGTGATAAATGTGCTTATGTTAAAGACACGAAAAAGGGTTATGTAATCCTATATCTTTACGTAGATGACATGCTTATTGTGGGAAACAAATATAAAATTATTAAATCAACACCTTTCGAAAATAAAGGGGAAAGTATTTCTCAAGTTGAATACTCAAACATAAAAGGGATTCTTATGTATCTAATGAATTTTGCTGGACCAAACATCGCCTTTGCCATGAGTAAACTGAGTAGATGTACAAGTAATCCAGGAAATGAACACTGCATAAGAGTTGTGAGATTACTCAGATACTTAATATACACCTGTAAATATAGTGTGCACTATTGTAAATATCCAGCTATAATTGAAGGCTATAGTGATGCCAACTCGATATCAGATATGAAAGACTCTAACTTATTTATTCACTTTGGTAGGTGCTGCCATATCATGGAAATATTATAAGCAGACTGTTACTGAGAGATCCACAATGGAGTCCGAATTTATAGCATTGGACAAAAGTGGAGAAGAGGCGGATTGGCTTAGCAATTTCTTAGAAGGCAGTCCAACATGGTACAATATCTATTAGCTATGTGAAGTCAAAAGATAATCTTGTGGATCTGCTAACCAAATGGTTAAATAGAGAGTTGGTTGCTAAATCTTTGAGAGGAATGTGACTTAAGCCTCTAGAAATGAGTTGATACAATGGAAACCCTACCTTGTTGACTGGAGATTCTAAGATCTTGGTTCAAAGGGACAACCTAATTGTAAAAAGACTCTTGTGATCACTATAAGATATTATTCATTTTCCATTCCTTAAACAATGATACCCATGGTGAGCAATATAATCATTTAACTTTTAATGATTCTTGTATGGGAATGTAGTATGGGCTACTTTTAATTAATAATCACCTATGTGAGAGAGAAGTGTGGCCGCTTCGAAGAGAATTGTATGAGGCTCAATTCTTAAACCCTCTCACAGAACCAAGCTATGTCCAAGGCTATCATTGGGCATAATAATGAGAGCTGAGATATGTTAGGGAGAATACTGTGTGAGGTATATTCATCGTTCACACAAAAGTCAGAACAGTTCAAAGGCATCGCGTCTACTGATCAGCTAGTAAAGTTATTGTGCTTTCACAAGGAAATGTTCAAAAGATAACACCAACTTATTCTATACATATTTCAACTGTTGGACCATAACATTAATTTTTAATTTTATTCATGTGGGGGATTGTTGGATAATTTAATTGAACGAAATTTTGTAACTAAACGTAACTCTTGTAACTTTTAACTTGGTTTTAACTTTAATGTTACAAGATATTAAGTTTAATCTTCGTGTTTTGGTTTAGAATTCTAAGGCCCCATAGGCTCGATTCGGTTCCATCCTCAATTACATCTTTTCAGGATGTTAACTCATTTTGTTTAATGTTTAAGAGTTAATGCTTTGGTTTTTGATTTATCTTTCAGGCCTTATAAATAGAGCATTTGGCTGAGTTTTGTATGCGAAAAAGAAGAAAACAACAATAATTGTTAGTCATTTTTCTCATTTTTCTTTTGAAGTATTTTGGTCCAGACATAATTTCAATTCGTCGGACTTTATTCGATTTTGTCGTTGTATCCCAGGAAATAGATGCTCATACGAGGCGAATCTGTTTTAAAGACATTGTGTTCTCACAGGTCTCGGTATTATATTAAATAACCATCTTATTTTCATTTTTCCGATAAAGTTATCTGCAAGATCTTCGGCAGCAAGGTATAACTCTATATAAGGGTGATGTATGATCATCATGTTTCTTTTCTCTCTAAATGATTGGTCAAAAAAAGTGTGTATTTTATATATTTATTAGCGTATTTTTATATGTTTAATTTTATCGCACTTATATATTTTTTGGCTTATTTATTTATCAGATGGAATTGAGTGATATTTCTATGTTTTATTTTTAAGATTTTAAAGTATGTTTGTGGACGCGAAACATTGAATGAAAATTCACGTGAGCTATTGTCGGGCGGCTCAATATGAGAGAATGACGGCCACAATTGATTAAGGCCCAGTAAGTCATATGCTAACGGAAAATGAAAAAGAAGAAAAGAAAAGAGAATTTGGGCCCAAGATTAAAAAAATCAAGAGCCCAATTGGACACATGAAGACACCCAAAAAAAACTCACGCCTCATAAGAGATTTTGGAAGAGTTTGGACAATTAAATTGCATTGATGTTTTTCTGCGGGCCCCAATATTGAGTAGATTTGGCAAAAGTGATATTACATGGCAAGAGAATTATCCGCAGGCAGGCAGACATGCACATAAGAGAAACTCCGATTTAATAGGGTAAATGAACCTACTTTATAAGCCTAGTGAGCTACTCCTTCCATTACCAATTTGTTTTGAGATGATACCTCACTTGGACTTCAGTTGGGCTAACCCTCTTATGGTGCACTTCACCTGTGGGACCGCACTCGTTTTGCCCCCGTTTGACAGAGACCGTATCCACACGAAATAGGATAATTTTATTCTCTTTCTTTTATTTTTATTTATTATGTTAGTAATTTTTATTTTTAGTTTCGGAGAAGTCGAATCTTACGATTTAATAATGTTTAATTAATTTTCGTGCTTGATAATTTTATTATATCTCTGAAAAGTGCGTGTTATTTTGAATGATCAACCATGATGTGTTTGATTTTATTTAGATTGATCACCTCGATATAATTTTTCATGTCTAACGCTAGAGTTAAGTGAACGGAGCAGTTGTGTTTACTCCTTAGACTAGCCCGTTCTTCTAGATCTTAAAGAAGTTATTGCATTAAATCTAGAGATCATGTTCTAGATTGTCTAATAAGTCAGGTTTAATCGTAGAGCGTCTCTCAGTTATATTAACAGTAAGGAAAAATTCGGTAGCAGAACGTGTTACTATCTTGGGCTAGTAATTTCGAAAGATAGTGAAACATGATGTCACAATTGATTAGTTTAGTTGAACGAGGACGTAGAACCATGAACCAGAAATTTCTCTTAATTTATTTATTTTATCATTATTTTCTTTGTTTAGAATTTTTTTGTTTCATTAGCTTTTTTGGTTAGTTTAGTTATTATTTATAATTCGTTTCACACTTCTTGTGGGATCGACCCTTGCCGCTACTACTAATTAATAGAGGTTAGTCGAGTAAAAATATAAATTCTACGTCGCGACACGCAGTTACTAAATATTTTAAGCTATTATACTCTACACGTTACTCTTAAAAACTGACTTAAACTTGAGCGTCGGAGGTTATATGCCGGGACAACCCGACATTGTTTCGCAGATCATCTAGCGGTTTAATGGACATTGGACATGACCGATTTTGTTTACACACCAACAACAATGTTATCGTTTTTCAAACAAAAATGTGCGAATAAATTGCATTAGTCAAATCGGTCAATATATGTGACAAACCTTACCCAATTCTGCGAGGCAGTTGTTCATCTATTTCTAAAACTCACCCAACTAAGAGCATCTCCAATGGATTGTGCATTGCTCCATTTCATTACCACGTAGCACCAATAATCCAATGTGGCATTTAAAATTTCTAGAAGTCTTTCTAAATCTAGAAAGACTTCTAGACATCTTCTATGCTATATTTTATACTATTTATTTTATATTTCTCTCTCCATCAACCAATTATTATATTACACGTGTCAATTTATTCTACAATTGACATTAACCATTGGAGAGAAAATATTTTTATTTCCTTTCTCCACAACATACATATCAAAATAGACATGATGCCATTGGAGATGCTCTAAGTGAAAGCATTATTTTCTAGATATGTCCGAGCTCGATTAGAAGAAATTAAAAAGCAAAAAATAAATAAAGAAAAAAAAAACTATTAAAGGGGCAAAAAATAAGAAAAAAAAAAAACAAGAACAGTTAACTTCACTAGAAAACATCAATCAACCTACATTCTCTTCTCTTCGAACGGCCCCCTCTCCAAAGGGCAAACCATACATGCCCGGGCCTCGGGCTCTCTCTCTCTCTCTCTCTCCCTATAGCTACCATAATACAATCCTACACGGAAACCCTCATTCCAGAGTCGAAGCACGGCTTTCCGACGTGTCCGAGCTGCTATTATTCTCCCTCTCTTTCGACCACAGCCTCGAAATCACCTTTCTCACCCCATTGGAGTCTTTGCAGTCGTTCAGCCTCAGGGACTCGATTTTCAGTTCCGAGGACGTGTCCGTATTTTTGCTAGTCCCCGACCGCGAGCTGCCATTGGACCCTCCACCGCCAGGCAGCAGGGACCTTACCGGGCCCGGTAATTCGGGCAGCCCGTTACTGTTCCCGCCTGCCCGCCCTTTGGCCTGCTCGAAGAAGAAGAGGACCTGCACGACTACCCGCAGCGGAAGCCTCTCGTTCTGCACCGCGTGCGCACAAGCTTCAGGAGACAGCTTACGGCAGTCCATTAACCGGCATATTTTCCTTTTGTCGCCCTTGCTCATTCCTGGGTGTTCCTGTTTGAAAAAAATGTAATGTAATTCTGTGTTATCTGCAGTTAAGAAAGATGAACTAATTCAATTTTGCAGTACAAACAAACCTTGAGATACATGTCGATGGCTCGGTAAATTCCGTCGTGGCTAGGTCTCGGAAAGCCAGACACCATATTCGCGAGATCGAGAAACCTCGACAGCGGCAGCAATGGATCCCGGGCGGCCTCCGCCAGGTAACCCTCCACCAGCCGAGCCACTTTGGCCTTGGAAGCTTCTGAACCAAATCCCGCGTACATCACCTCGAATTCTGGATCCATCGTCACAAACTGCTCGACCAAACCCCCCACCACGTCCATATTATAAACCGTCACTTCCCCATCCGGAGACCGGATCACGAGATCCGCGACCGTCGCCTCGTCCAGCTGGCGCGCGATCTTCCCCATCAGCTCCCGTTTCACGTTCTCCCCACACCCCACCAAAAAGGCCGCGTGCAGTAACTTGAGCAAGAAGCCACACGGGACGCAATTTCTCTCCTCCGGCACGAGAACGGTGACAGTCTCGACCAGACACCGGTGTTTCGCGAGGTCGTCGTCCTCCCGCACGAGGAAAACCGTCGGGAGCCTTCTAGAAGCGTATGCGCGCAACGACTCGCCTATGACGTCAGCAGAAATTCTCCCCTTGGCTTGAATGGTGGTTACGACCCGTTTGTACAGATCGAGCGGGAGGCCGCAGAGGTCCTCCACCCACCAGTCAATCGGGACCGACTGCTGCTTCCTGACGCCGTTGTAGAGCGGTTCCCGCCCGTTTTCGGACGGGAGCTTTTTCCGATTATAGGTGTAGGACCAGTCGACCTTGGAGGGGTCGACGGAGGCCTTGGAGGCTATGGAGTCGAGACAATGGCTCACGATTTTCAACTCTTCCGACCAAGGGAGGTGGGATTTGGAGGAGTGGAGGACGATGATGGAGTCCTTCCAGGAGCGGAGGAGGCTGGACGAGAGGAAGACGTCGATCTTTCGGGCGAGGTTGCCGGAGTCGGTGGGCTCGTGCATCTCGAGGTACTCGGCGGCGGCGCGGGCGGGGACCACGTTGTAGGCGTTGAGAGTGACGATCATTCCGTAGCAGAATTTGGCGCATATCTCGAACGCGGGGGGCCCGCCAGGGATGTCGGGGATGTGGATCTCGTCGTCTGATGTGGCGGCGCCAGCTAGGCGATGGAGGCAGGGGCTCTTGGAGAGGAGGGGGAACTGAGGGAAAAAGGAGAGTGGATATTTTTTTTAGTCCTATATGAATTGAGTGTCATAAGATGAAACTATCCATTTGTAATTGTAGAAATTGCAAGATGGCAAACAAGGACTCAGATTAATGTATCTTTCATCAGTCAATAGTTTTCATATCTTTCGGGTGCTATTGTGATAGAAGTAGCTGTTTTTTGTGGTTCAACACAGATCTACAGTAGTAGGATGAGTATTTGAGCTGACATGGAAGGTTAATCTAGCTTCCTTCATTGATGAAGAAGTATTAGAAATTAAAATGACAGCTAGAGAAAATCAAGCAGTGGATTCGAGTTTGGGTTTCAGAAAAAGGCTGGTAACGATATATATATTTTATACAAGATGAACAGAAAATGGTCCTCTAGCATTCAATCGTACAAAGCATCGAGTGAAGCATACGTGATTATTACCTTGTGTAGATAAAACTTGACATCGCCAACAATAACGACCATATCAGTAGCCAAATCAGTCGCTACATGCCTGAAATACAAATCCTTTCTCTCAGTCGAGGGTTGATTCATAACAGATCAGAAAATAGCTTTTCTATGTTAGAGATAATCGAACAAAACGGCAAGAATAATGCTGGCACAAGATATTTTTTCACCATCATACGAAACATTTGTTACCAACCATACCAGTCTACTTGCTGCTTCTAGTTAGATACACTTTTATAAAACTTAGGACAAAGATTACCTTATATTTTCCCCATCACTCTGAAACTGGTCGGGCTTCGTACCAAGTTTCATAAACTTCATCTTGGTGGCAAATTGTCTTTTAATCCAAACAGGTATTTCACAACAATTTTTCCCAACTCAACCACTCGCGCGTCAAAAAGAAAGTCGAAAGAGCAAATTAAGAAAGAAGTATCAAAGGTAAGAATCTAATCAACCCCTCAAAGAGAAGCTTAATGCAATAACAGAGACTCCCACTTGATTATTTTTCCCGAAAATTATTAACTTCATTCAGGGAGTTCAACACTTAAGTAATCAAAGCCCAAGAGTCCAAAAACCAATGAAGTTGGAAAACCTGTCAAAGCCAGCAAAAATATCGGTATTAGCACACGGGCACCACCAGAATCACAGACACGAAGCACCAACTAGCTTTGGATTTGACTGAAAACATATCTACACATATGAACAAGCTTGCACTAAAACCAACAAATTTGTTCCCTAAAATAGTAGGGTAACAACAAATGTGAGGCATCAATACCAATACCAATACTCATAGAGTTTTTGGCTGTTTAGCTTTGACTTCTTCTTTTATGGCTTGGAGTTGGTCAATTCTTTTTTGGTCTTTAGTGCAGCCAAGCACATGCTTAAAGGTACCTTAACCAAGAACCAGTAAACTAGCACTAAACAGAAATATAATAGAATCAAGAACGCGTTACATTAGTGCAAAGCAAAACAGAAGCCAAATGCAGGAAAAGGGGGAAAAAAGAAAAACGAAGAAGAGCATGCAATGCAGTCATGGGAGCAAATATTGAAGCAATAAATAACACAAACATCAAATGTTTACCTGAAACTACTAAATTTCAATCCATTAAGATATCAATAACCAATTAAGCATCAAATACAAGAAAGCTACGACTCATCGCAAGAGGAATGAATGAAAGCCAGAAGCTTCAAAAAGAGCGATCTTTTAACTCTCAACTAAAGACTGGAGCTGTCAATGTTTTATAGATAAAACTTGCACGAACACTATATCGGAATGGGAATTTAATTAGCCCAACAAAGGATCAAAAACATCAGAACAAGAATGAGTTGTTTGCCCAACGAAAGATAGAAAGAAAGAACACCAAAACAAAGATGAGTTGTTTCTTATCTTTGCCAGCCACCATCACAACATAAAGCTCTCATAAAAAAGTTCCATACCTTGAGAATCAGCAAAAGCCGCAAGGCTGCCCTTTTTTACCCTCCCCCACGACACTCTACTTTTTATATACCATGAAGCGCACAAAGGTAGTAGGTAATAACAATGCCAACATTGTTTTTATATCTATTTTCTTTCACCTTTTTACTGTAATTTCAGCTGTCACTGTTCAAAAAAAATTGGGTATGGCTACCAGCCAGTGAGGACCCCTTAAAATTTTCAATCAATAAATTAAAAAAAAAAGCTTTACAGTTAGTTTTAGGCACGCCAAGCCTGACACTGTTGCCCCCTTCATCATATACACACTTTCTTTTTCCTTTATTATCTTTTTCTTTTCTTCTGCTTGGAATTTTGTCAAACGACTCATGTGCATCTTTTTTTTTTAAATATTATTGCCATTTTTTCACCATAGAAAACGACCCTGCAACTTTTTCCCTCGTACTTTGATAATAATGGCATCCAACTCTATTCCCATAATTTATTTAATTGAAAAGGTATATGCTCATTGATTGAAGTAAATTAGTGAAGAAATCTTTGCCTCCTTGAATTAATTAAGAATTTAAAAGATAATTAATCTTGAAAAATATGAAGAATCATATATGTGGGGGTCACGTGACCCACTGACTGCTAATTTTGAAGTTAGGAGTTACGACTCAACTTGTCAAATTACAATCACACATTGATGTTAATGTTAGCTTTTGCTCGAATGGTGCCCTTGGAATAAAATCTGGTTGAGTAAATATTTACAATTGAATTGGGGTAAATCCCCCTATATTTGATCTTAAATATGTTGAATTTGAACATAAGTGGCATGTTCGCACGCTTTGAAATCATACGTGTCAAAATATCTTGTTTTGTATTTAGATTCGAATAAAAATTTTAAAAACATAATTAGTTTGGAATCAACCATATATAATTATTTCATCTTACATTATAAATCTATCTTTCATTACAATAAACTTATTCCCTCTCATAAATTTGTTATTAATAAATATCCTATAAACCTCTCTTTTATAATCATAAATTTATTGTCTTCAAATTTGACATTAGTCAATATTACTACGACTGAGACTGAAAATAAATTTTCTCTTACATATACAAAATGAAATTTCGCTTACATATATAAAATGAAATTTAAGTTTATTAATCAAAATGAATTGTATACATGAAATTTAATTCTCGAGTTTGACAAATCCATTTGTTGAACAAAATGAAATTATCTACTAAATGAAATTTAACTTTATAGTACAAGATGAATTGTATACATGACATTTAATTCTCGAGTATGGAAAATCCATTTCATATATGGTTTATGGGAAATGGTAAATCATATTTTCCAAATTCTAAATTGTTGGACAGATTTTCCTTTCATTTTGTGATCATTTACAATAGGAAGACTAGAAAATTTTGTGCTGATAATGATGAAAAAATTGTAAGTAGAATAATAATGTCGTGTCCAAATAAATTTTTGAGAATTTGAAATAAAATACCAATGTACAGTAGTTTTTGTTTTATGTAACTTCTATTTTTGTATTTTGTATATACTTACAATAACTAAATTCTTTTACTCTTTTTGTTCAAATTATTTTTTCGTGCACTCGTGTACTGATGTTGTGGAAAATATAAAATACATGGTTGTTATTTGACCCCCAATTTTTCCAAGTACTCCCAAACACAATACCACCTTGTGTTAGGTTTTGCTTAAGTGTCCTCTTAAGAAGTTTTAGTTGAACAATATTTAAAACTGAATTGGGTAAATAGCCTTTTAGGGGAAACCATAAATTAATATGGTTGTTATATCCAATTTTTCCATAGAGCAACACGATGCCCTATAAAGGAGTCAACTCTTTAAACATGGTAAGTAAAAATTATTAATTAAAATGAATTAATTATCTTTTTCAAAGAATAAAGTATTTTTCAATTGTTATGTATACGAGCTCCATTTTGGAGTGGAATGTTGGTTTTTATACAAACTCAGAAATTTCATGACCCAACTTTTTGAAATTGTACAAGTTATAAGAAAATTGCCTGAATTTATCTTCTCCATAGAAAAAGTACATTTTTTCTTATCTAAAAATGAGAAATCTTTTTATTGTGCTGCAACCCTCATTTCCTAAGAATCCTCTTAAACCCGACTAATAATGTGCAGTTTGCGTTAATTAAGCACTCTATGAATAAAATTGGAAGATCCTCAACAATCCGTACACATTCATAATTATGCTAAATGGTGCTCATTTTTTGTGTGAGCTGTTTGTATAAATTCATAATTAACTTAATCTTGGCTTAATCTGACATAATTGCATTACAGTCATGTCCAAGATTCCACCACCAGGACCTGTCCGTTCACTTATTTTCCCTTCAATTTTGTAAAAGGTCTTCACCAGCTTTGACTTGAAATTAATTTTATATAAGTGTCATCTCAAGAATTAAATTCCAGAAACAATGTTGAACGATAATTAATTATACATTTAAACCGAACTCGTGAATCGACTTGCTAATTTCACGTCGAGTTTATTCAACGATGTGAAGTATCAAAATGAGTTCTTTAAAAATAAGGAAAAAAATGAGAGCAAAATTCAATTTATTTCAAGTGGTAGAGATTTATTTATACATCATACATGGACCAAAAAATATCGTATTCAAGTAGTAGCTAGTATACCGGAAGAACTACATGACATCAACTATCGTCAGCACACTTTTAGATGCTATTTCATAGTATTCTCACACATGATTAAGGTGAGTCAAAAGAAAAGTCAACCATCACGTACACATTTTCCTCACTCCTTACCGTGATCAAATCCAATTATTCAAAGTTCAAACATAAATAATTATGAATCACAGACTTATTGCAACTACAAATATTAGGATAAGAAAAAAATAAAATGGTGAAAAAAAAAAAAAAACCGTCGGTGCGAGTAAATCTGCAAATTAGGATATGCTTTTGAAGTTTGCCAACATTGGATTTAATTATTCAAAGTTGACGACTTTTTGGTGATAGACTTAATCCACAAATGTCAAATAAGATCGCATAGTTTAGTGACATTTTGTTGAAATGAAGTGTGTTGGATGAACTTGATGAAGACATTGTCGTGCTTGGACTTTTGACTAACCCAGCGACTTCCTTTTATACTAATTTCTTTACTATTTTTTTTCTCTTTATTTATTTTTTCGGGTAATTATGTTAAACTAAATCTAAGCAAAAGGTTCATTTCGCAAGATGACATTGCTTTAAAACGACATTTATCACTTCAGCTGCTAGCGCACCAAAGTATTTCCTATTTGTTCTTGACTTCTTCAACAACATGATATTTCTTTATTTATTTATTTATTTTTTCTTTTTGGGGACTATAAAATTTTATAGATAAACACATATTTACTATTTAGAACTCGACAGTATCAGTCGAATCAAGCAGGTATCGACTGAATCTAGTAGGAGCACATAAAGCCCAGACCACCACAAACACACTCACAATATTACAATACTCTCACTAGTGGAGAATACAACTCCTAGACGGAGAATAAACACTAAAAAAACAACACATAGC